AGTGAGAGAGGATATGGGTAAAAGGGGTCTGAGAGGGGTTTGAGGATAATATTTGGCCTGAACTTTCCAAGAATTGAATGCACAGTGGTTCAAATAAAGTGAAAGTATGCTTTTTACATTCACCCCTGATTCATGAGTTAGGAAATGATTAGCTGAACTCTAAACAATTACATMACAGTCTCAAAAACAACAACAGTTTTCCACAACATCTCACAATTTTTTTAAGATACTAATGTGAGGAGGAAAAACCCCAAACCAAASCAAAGGATCAGTAAGAACTTAAAGACCTCCAAGAACAGTGTCACAGAGAAAACAGTATCTTTTGCTGTTTCTAATGCCAGAGCACGAGTCATTAGGCAAAAAAAAAGAAAAAAAAAAAAATTCTTATCATTCAACAGGACCAAAGTGCTGTAGCTGACCATAGTTCCTAYATTCCTGAAATGATTCACAAATTCATTCTTCCTATTCTCAGTATAGGCTGAGGCTCTTAGAAAAGTAGCTTGTTAACCATTTTTTTGGCTCCTATGTGTGTAAGCTTTTTAAGGCTATGACTCAAAGTTAGGCAGAGTCTCCACCGTATCTGAGGTACTGAAGAAAAGCACATCAACATCAAAATGACCAAAGTCTGTGCAGTCAGCCAATACTGTTGTGAGTTTCCTTCTTTACAAGGAGGCTCCATATTTTCCAAGTTATTTTGCTATTTAAGCCATCTCTCAAAAGACTTAAGAAAAATTATAAAAAGGATAGCCTTTCAAAGGATAAAACTAAAGGTGGTGATTTATATCTAGAAAAAGAAACTAAGGAAATATATATATGAACAAGATGTTCACTGCCCTGTCATGTTCATTATTTTTCTAGCTCAATCATTTTTGTGATGAGCATTTTATCATACTGTGTGCAGCAAGCAAAGGTATACAGATTCTCCAGAATGGAATACTCCTGAAGAACAGAGCTGGTTCTCTACCAGATGGGAAATCGTACCATGTTCAAACTACTGATCTCTACTTTGCATGGAACATCTGTGCAGGCCTGACATCAAGACTAATTTGATGAAGCCAGGAAAGAAGGACTGCTGATCCAGAGGTATGGAAACCTTGCAAGTATTTTTCCAAACTCTATGGAAAGAAACCATTGATGCCTGTCACGTGCTGATGTGTTTTTGCAAGGCATAGAGCTCACTACCCTTCTGTACGTGCTTCATCGATAAAATTTTTTAACCTGMGAGTACTTCCACAGCTTCAGTCTCTCCTCTCTGAAGGGTGTCACTAATGACAATTTTACAAATTACTTTAACACTTTTCCATTATCTGTTTCAATGTTTACTACTGAAAAGTCATGACTGTGAGGTCTTGAATTCAACCTTTTCTCTATTTCKCATGTGGATGGTTTTATTTTATCAAATTTATACAGCCAAACTCTGATAAGAGTGCTCTTCAGTTTTCAGTATTCAGCCAGCCCTCAACATCCAGTAAGTTAATTCCTCATGCTTATTTCTGTCATCCAAGTAATCTCTGATTGTAATTCCAATAWTTCTTGTCCATACTACTAGCATTCTACTCTTTTATCTTTGAAAGGTCCTGGTAGGACCAGCAAATTTGCCTAACAGCACAGATACCAAAGAAAAAGTTTCCTGTCTGAATATGGCTGCTAGAGTATGTATGCTAGAGTATGTATTTTTGGCTTTTGTAGCTTGYGCCAAGAGGAAAAAAAAGAAGTATATGTATCTGGCTTGGTCCAGCAATAAAAAAACATGATCAGAACAATTTTTTTTAGCTTTCTCTTGAATTTCACATTGAGTGTGTCTCAGCATACTGATAACAACAGCCCCTCTATTTTTGATAGGTCTGTGTGGGAAATGGTTATAAGCTTTATATGAGGATGGATCATTGAATATTTAGAGAATATAAAAACTTTTGATCATAAATCACACGTTCAACAGCACAGAGATGATTAAAAAAGGATACTAACTCCAGGAAGTTAACTTGCCAAGTAAGTGAACTCAAAACATTATTTACTGCACAATACCATCAGAACAAGAGCTATCTGCTTTAAAATTGTTTTGCCTGAAAAAAACCCCTCAGTTCTCAATAGGAAATCACAATATAAAAGTGTGTAATGGTGCAATGTGAATCCAGGTAGTTTAAATTCACTTTCAGAATACCATCAAATGAGAATTTCGGTGTTTATATCTACCAGAAYAGAATAATTGTTACATGATATTTGATGACAGCTCTGGGAAATGAAGCCACTATCAGCAGACTAAATGACTAACTCATTCCTTCTGGTTGCTGCTTCTGGGAGGTGAAAGGTTACTTCTGCATCTATCCAGTTACTTCTCCCAAGACTCCAAAACCAATAAAATTAGTTTGACCAGTCTTGCACCTATGGCTACAAAAATATCTGACTTAGCATCTGCTAATCTGGAAAGTCTGGAGTTGATGTCAGACAAAAAGAATACCTTGGCTGAATTTTTTTGCTGACAATTGGAAGAGATTCTAGAGAAAAATGTCTCTCACAAATCAGTGTCGGAGTTACGTTTCAAAAATACAAGCATAAGCTCTATATTCTAAAAAATTACTTCAAGAGGATAYTTCTAGGAACTGTTTTGTAGTCACAGTAAAAGTGTGATAAATTGTTACTGCTCACCAGTAACCTCATCACATAACGTATATTCCTGTAAAGTCAGCGTCTGTCACCACTTGGCATACACTAGTGTCACATTTTTTTTGTGTAGGAAACAAAGCAAAAGTGTCGAGCTCTCCGAGAACTCTCTCTAAACATTGGTTACCATCAGCAAGCAAAAAGTAGTCATTGAAAACCTATTCTCTACTAATTGTGGTGTTCAAGATTGTAACTGATTACCTGTGAATCTTCACCAATTATTAACTCATAAAATGCTACGTTTTTTTCACTTCTAAAGTACATATTTTTTATTTATCTACAGCAATTCTTTCTTAAATAGCTTGAAAGTTGTAAAGCAAAAAGACAAGAGCTGGAAAAATCTAAGTTTAATTAAAAAAATACTGGAGTGGACATATTTTTCAGAACTAGCTAAATAAAGTGGTGGGGGAAAAGGGATATCAGAGGTGTGTGTTAATAGTCTATAGAATGTGCAACCTGAGAACTTGGTTAACGTGTAGAAACTGCAACTGCCAATTGCCTGCTAATTTTAGAAAACCACATCAGTGCCATTTTCATGTAAATTTTCTTTTGCACTGGGATTGGGGCTGATGCCACTTAGTGATAGGAGTTAGGGAACGGCTGAGCCATTAAAATATACATTATTTACTTCATCTGCTATGAGAGGACAATTTTCTTTCTCATGTTTGTGTTGCACAGAGCAAACCAAGTGGTAAGAATAAAAAAATGATATGGGATTGTTAGTGTGTATCACCAGACCCATTTAACTTAAATTCAGCTTTTTTTGGTGATTRCCTTTGGAATGAAGAGCTGATAAAGGAAACAAAATATATGGTACATCAATTACTCTTAGCAAGCACACATCTGGAATTCCTGGGTTAAACTATGCTGTGCATAGGGATTTTTCACAGCTCTCACCCATGCCTTTTCAAACATGTTTGGATTCGTCAATTCTAGTTTTTTTTCCGATCTRAATGATTCTATGGCTCTAACGAGCCATAGCAAAACAGCACGTCTGTGGSTATTTACTGCCAAGCACAGTTGAAGAGAGAAAGCAAATCCAGCACAGAMACATTTTGCACTCACCTCCTCCACAGGACTCCGAGCACTCCGTAAAGCCTTCATATTCCCAGTCATAGAGCTCATCCAACTCCKGCAAACTGCCATACAAAAGCTGAGTCTCCTCTGGGGTGTATTCAGCTGTGTCCCCGCTGCAGGGACCATTGTAACAAACCCTCTGGGACACGGGTCTGGGACCTTCACATTCATCAATAGGCAGATCAGCCACGGACTGAGAGAAAGAGAGGAGCACTTGGCAYTTCACAAGCCGCACCTGGCTGCCTACCCCACAGCTCACACTACACGTGGACCAAGCCTCAGGAATAAACCTGTGAAAGGAAGAGAGCAAGGCAAGTTACCTCCACAAGCTGCCAGGCAAGCAGAAGCATAGTCCTGCTGAGGCCAAATTTTATTTAATGAAAAACACATACTTATCTCATCATACATTAATTAAAAAATGCACATAGGATGTACAATTGATAACTCAGTGGTGGGTCTCATTTCCAAGAAGAAAGACATCACCCTTRTAACACATGCCTTGATCCTAAAACATCTCAGTGCAAGGCATCCAGCAATCTCCCAATGTGCCAAATGTGCCCAATGGGCATGATATCACTAGCTACTTTTTGTAAGTATTCAATCTAGATAATCTTCACCTTAGTTATTAATTTTTTTCTTCACTAGTAAGTATTGAACAGGCTGCTATTATCAGGTAATTCCAGTACTACATGGAAAATAATTTCAATTATTCTCCTTGCACAACAGTGACTGTTTTTAAGTCTTAGTTTGAAGCTAGCAAGAAGTCAAGAATTTGCAGTTTCCTGAGATTTTCCTTTTGTGTGTGTTTTTATTTTTATTTTAAAAATCTTTTAAATTTGTTTATTAAAAACAAAGCAGTGATCCATTCCTATTATGGATTTGTTTACATGCACTTGTCTCACCAATTAGTAACCCATAYATGCTCCAAAATTTTCCTTCTGAAAGTCCATGCATATTTGATTAAAATCGCTATGCAGCTGTCATTACAATAAACAGACTGAATTCCATCTTACTATTTTCCTCAGTAATAGAATAATTTCTCAATTTCTCTGCATCACTGATTTTTCAGTGTTGGTGCTAGAAATGGGACTACCATTTTCCTCAATCTTATCAAGCATAAGATTCACATTTAACTCAATACCACATCATTACTACTTCATTGCAGTAATGTAACATATCTTGTTTTGCTGAGCTCATGTTGAACTATGCTGACTCCTAAACCTAGCTGGAAGAAATTGTTTCAGAACACTCTGAAACCTGCAATACTTACACTTAGATATCTGATGATAGTGGTATCAGGCCACAAAAGTAACGAATATAGGGTAATTTAGATAGATTTGTCTGAACCTCTTGCCTTCTCCATTGGCCATTTTCCCAAAMTTTCTGCACAGGCAAATTCTAAGACAGCAGTTGTAGTTATACTTCAAAGACTAGAGCAAAAGAATGAACAGTTGGATCTGGCACTGATCCTTGCTGAACCCACAGGAACAATTCCTGCTGATGACACTCGCCCATTAACAGTARGTGTTTGGGATCTGTGAGCTTCTGCAAACTCAGGTTTTGGGATGTATTTTTCATGGAAGCCTGGCTGTCACTGACAGTATTTCTCTCCGTTTGGTCCTTATTTTGGTAGGCATGGCAGACTTGGAGAGCTTTTCTCCAGGCTGAAGGCAATACACCCATCTGTTCTGCTACAGCCCGGGGCTACTTGGGGCTCTAGCAAACTCATTTCTCACCTCGGGAAACCCATGAACAGTTTTGATAGGAAGAAATCCTACTGCGGTCATCTTTCAAAATGTTTTTACACACTCCTTTCTTTCATCCTCTGCCTTTCTCTGATAAATGGACTTTTCCTCCATGCTGAAGTTAAAAAAGCCCTAAAACTTAAAATGAAACTTAGTGTTTTCCCAGTGTGTATGTATCAAAATCCATGTTTGGAACATCACAGTCTTCTGGAACAAAGAGTGTGCATCTCTTTAACCATTTTTTTTTTTTAAATTATTATGTCTTGTTATAAACCTGACATCTGCTGCTAGCACTATACACAGAAAGTAATAGAAAGGAARGGAATGAATTGCAGATATTATTGTAACTTTTGAAAATATTTAACATGGTGCTAAAAAGACTGCGAGAATTCTTTCAGGAGAAAGCTCTTGAGAGAGTAATGGTGCAACGTGATTCCATTTTCCTACTCTTAAGACATTTTATCTTAAAATGTCAGTCTTGTTTCCAAGATGGTATCTTTCATTTTGGGAAGATTATACTCTTTACAGGTGGAACACTCTAAGACAGCAACTGCTGTAATATCATTATGATGTGGAAAATCTGTCACAGATTAAGTGTTCACATCAGCCACTGCACAGCTTCTTAACCTGGCAAACTGAAGGGTAGAAACTCTAATTAGATTCTAAAAAAAAAAAAAAAAAAAAAAAAAAAAAAAAAAAAAAAAAAAAAAAAAAAAAAAAAAAAAATCTTCATCAAAAGCTGTTTTTCTTCTATTTTTGAACACTGTGAATTGTGCAACTTTTCTTTGTTAAAGACCTGGTATACTCCAAACTAATAGGGAGGATATTTTGCAAGGTATTAAAATTACTCATTTAGAAAAACAGAGATACTTCAAAAACTCAGAATATTTACAGATTAGTATATCACGGATACAAACACAGGAACAAAAGGAAGAGGATGCAAAAGAAAAATATGAACGTGACTAAAGAGTAAAGTAAGAATGAAGAATAAAACTATTCTAAAGTAGACTGGATCCTTTCTGAAAGGAGGCTTGATCTATATGTGCCAAATACTATCATCAGAATCAGCAACTCATAATGAAACTAAGAGAATACCTTCAGGAAATTATATTTTTTTAGTTATCTAGGTCAAATTTCTGCCTTTTAGGTGAGAACTTTGGAAATCTGGTTTAAATGTTATATAACTCTTAGCTGATAAAGAGAAAATTAGCAGAATTGAAAAAATTAAAAGCAGAAAAAAGAGGGAAACTCAAGAAAACCGCACAAAACATATCTCCATATTTCTCATCTCTTGAGAAACAAGAAGACAATATCAATGTTCAACAATGGGAAATCTTTCACAGCAGGTCACAGTGGGTTCAGGGTGAGACCCATGGAGAGCTGTGCCGAATGCTATGGAGATCTCTGAAACTCTTGATTTATGTAGTGACARCCTCCTCTGTCTAGGGCTTGGGTTCCTACGATGTGTGTTATGAAGAAAAACAAGTTTATGAAGAAAAAAAGTGTGCTTTGAGCTATGGAGCAGAACAGCTCATTTTCTYCACTGCTACATAATTACATATTGCCCTGAATTTTAATGGCTTAATTTTTTTTTTGTTTGGTTGTTTTTTTTCACTCTTGCTTTGTCCATTTGTTTTAATCCATTGTTGGGTAAATCCATGGCACAGATAAAATCTGAGGTTTTTAGATATGCACACACCTGTAAGACTGAGAGCTCTATGGCAGAGATGCCCATCTGTTAAGTCTCTAAGATCAGATACTACTGCTGAAATGAAATGTTCCGTGGCTTGGTTGAAGGCTTGGGCATTTTCTGTGACAGAGCCAGAAGAGACTTCCAGATTCCTTGTCTTGAGCTGAAATGCAAGCATGTCCTTTTCCTTCAGGAAAGGTCACCTTTCCACAKGTTTCAAGGCATGCATAACACCACAGGATGCTCACATTCAGCACTGGATAACTACTGGTGGCATTTTTCAGAGACATGAAATGGTGCTCATGACCACGTAACAATAAAATATCAGGGCTCCATCTGTGAGAATATTAACTCTGGAGRCAGCTACACAGGTCCAATTCCAGTCAGACTGATTACATTTTGTCCCTACACAAAACTAAGTTCAGTTTTGAATATGATTTTTCCTTCAGGTTTGCGTCTCTATTTGAAGCTGTTGCTGCTTTTCATTCAYAGTTGCCTTCCTTCACTTTAAAGGGAAAATTACTACCTCTGTCCTTTATTGTCATTACACATAAATCCTATGCAGTTGTGACTGTATGTAGGGGGTCCTTGAAGGAGATAGAACTCATTAGCTAATATAGGAATCATTACCGAATGTGAACATGCCACTTTGCTGACTTTTGCTTTGACTAACCATGTATACAGTTTAATTTTTTTTCCCAATAGACCTTAATATGAACAAGTTTCCCGATACCCTCTTCTTCCTCTTCACTGCTTGAATCTAAAGTGGACAAGCAATGGCCCAGCAGATAAAGCTAAATATGTCCTCACTGTTTTTTTTAATCAATGCAACAATCATAATATGCTTTATTTTTAAAGTAAAGTCATGATATGAAGTTCTAAACTAATTAACCTGTGAATYGGGTACAAAGAACATGATGGAAACTGTTCAAGAAGGAAAATCAAATTGAAATAACTTATGTGTCTTTAGAAGCATAAATACCTGCTGAAAGGTAAGAAAGAGATATTGGGTGGCTCTGTCACACTGGCCTCTCTGTCCACATYCAATTCCCTGAGGGCTTTGTCACCCCTGCTAAAGCATGTCAGGAATTTCCTTTTGTTTTTTACTGAACTGGCCCCATCCCTATGATGGTGCCATCTGGTATCCAGATATTATTTTTTGCCCTCTCCTCATCACTCCCTGCTCCCTTTTATTCTTATGGCTAGCACCAGGGTTATTTATGCCAGTATGTTATTAAAAGCTGGATATGGTGTTAACATGCAAAAGCATTTTTCAAGAGTTAGAGACAGAATATTTTAAGAAACTCTCCACCACTCATAAACCCAATCACATTATACACAGAAAATCCCATGCTTTTTTTTTAATAATTTTTGCCATTGTTTCTGACTCTGGCTGTCACATTGTGCTGGTGTAATGAGTGAAAGAAGTCAGACAGAAAGATGCTCTGGCTCCTTCCGCAGGAAACATTTCTAATGCCGGATGAATGGTAACTTCAGGAATGGACAGCAGTAGGAGAACMACATGTACCTTGACACAGGACAGCAAGGTCTTCTCATCTTAAACATCTTTACAACAATTACAACACTTCATTACTAACATGAAATATTAAAAAGAAATTCTGTCAGCAATTAATATTTCATTAATCCTATCTAAAGGTGCACTAGGTCACACAACTATTCTCTCCAGTCTCAAAGTGGTCGAATTGTTTTTTAAGTCTTTGATTTTAATTCTTTAATTCTTAATTGSTGTTTAATTCTTTGAGCTGCAGAACCAGTCAAGAACCATTTGCCATGAAGTTATATTTGAAGGCTGAGTGTCCAAGTGGATTCTCTGCTATCTATTAWGGACTGAACTCCTCTGAAAACCTTTTCATCCTCTGGGGAACTCTAGAGTGTCAGTTTTCTAYTCAGTCGTTTAGTTCAGTGACACATGTGGAAAACACTTCCACTGAATTTCCTGAAGTATCAACCAAGTTTGACAGAGGAGTAAAATTCTCTGTGATAATTTTATACCTCTGTCAGAAGCAGTTAATAGGAATAAATTCAGACATTACTGAGTGGAGAGGAAGGCAACTGACAGATAGACATATACAGACAAAATTCAACCATAAGTCTTGCTTGCATTAGAAATTCCTGAAGATATAAATAATGGAAGGCACTGTAYGCAGATGGAATAAAATTGCAGCATCTGGTGCTCTGGCAGCACATATTGAAGAATGATCACAAATTACAGGTGGAAGTATAGTATAAGAGAAATACTGTAGCTTTATAAATCATAGCRTGCAAATTCATAACAAAGATCATATTCAATAGAAATATTCACAAAAATCAGAAGACAGCAATACAGAGATTCATAAATGTGAGAACTCAATTAATAGAAGAAATATGCTGAAAAATGAAACAGGTAATTACTGCACCAACATAGAGTGAWGAGGAAACTCATAGTTTGTCTGAAGAAACTTCCATTGCTGCAACTGAAAGTAAACATGCTTCTGAACACAATACTGCCTCTTCAGCACCTATCCATGACCCCTGAGGGCCTTCTGCTGTTCCTCCTGCCCCACAGCTGCTCACATTTTAGTTAGTTCACAGTCAGCAGAATAGCTGACCACATCACACACAGTCTTAGACCAACCACTGCTCAATCCAACATTAAAAAACTCTCAGCTGTTCCAAGCCTCAAATTACCATGCATCTACACTCCAGACTGATCATTCATCAGCCAAAACATRTGGGTGGTAGCCTGATCTGTCAGTAGTGGACCATGGAATATTACCTTGAATMTCTGCACAGCTACAGAAGCAGAGGCCAAAAGGTGCATTAACMGGGACCACATCTCGCTCTTGGAGTGTTTGAAAGCCCTACACAGCTGAATGAAATGATACTATAAAACTGGCCATAAAGTCRATTGTTCCTCGTATCTTGGTGAGTTTTGAATGTTTTGTCTCCCTTTTCATATTATTACATAAAATTTTTCAATCTAATAACCAGGACCTAAAATAAATAACTTTTCAAAGTAAGACATTAATGAAAAACAATAGTAATAGCGTGGCACCAAAACCAATTTTAGGTGGAACTGCTCAAGATCCCTAAAACTGATTAGATATTCTGGAACAATATGCAGATGGCTGTTACAGTTTACAAATGGGGATTGCATGGATGGTTCTTCCAGCATAAATTTTCTAAGTTTTATTTGGTTTTCCTGTCTCATGCCTTATCACCAAAAATCATTCCAAACTAAACACAAGGCATTTCCAAGCGTTGGGAAAGTTTATGTAAAGACCCTGACTTCGTGCCCTTTATTCTTCCTGTTAGTCAACACATATAAAAATCTACACTTGAACTTAATTTAAGTAGATTTCTCATCAGCCTAAAATAAAGATTAGAAAATGCTCCTGGATGTGTGCCTCACAGGGAGAAAACAAATGTACAAAATGTCACCCCACAGCAGGCTGAACCCTATCTGGACTGTGCCCTAGTGTATGGGAATGACAGAATCCCACTGGCATCAGTGAACCCTGCAGCAGATGGAGCAGACAGAGTGTCTTTGCAGAACAGGGCCTTCAGTGCAGCAGAGCAGTGACATACAAATACCGAGGCATCATAACTRCACTTAGAAATAAACTGAAGTTCTTAAACCTCTTTCCCTTTAGGGAAAAGGTCTTTTKTTGTATCACAAGTAATATATCCATATGGTTTTCCAAAATATTTTATTAAAATATGCATCATGAAAAACAAAAGGTTATGCCTATTCTCTACAAATCCCTTCTTAATATTTAAAGCTCATATACCTGCATACACACACACATACACACACACACACACACACACACACACACACAAAATAATATATAACTATACTCCTTTTCTACAGTGCAATGAATCTTGTTTGCAAAACTGATCAAAAGATTTCTTACTGTAACAAATTATTCCAAATGTTACCACAGCGTATCAGTATTGTTCCTATTTTATGTGTGTTCCAAGGTTTATTTACAGTTTGATAAATGTACATTTAGCTAAGTAATTGAGTATAGTCACAAGAAAAATCACAAGAAAATAAAGTGCAGTTTCCACATGAAAAATTAGTATTCACAAATATAACATTTTCTAGGCTTTGACTCTGAATTAATCAACCCATAAAGTCTATGGAACTATGGAGGCAGTTAAGTATTTCATTATAGTGTATGTGATAGCTGCTACTAATATACATAAACACATATGAATGTGTACATTTGCCTGTGTATATGTGTGTATAAATGCTTGTCTTTGCATACATTTGTCTCTATGTATGAATTTATACATATGGCACCTGGATTTTTTTTTTTTTTATTTTGAAAGACTTACTACAAATGTCCCCACTTTCTTAATGTCCGTGTTTCAAATGGACATAATTGCAAAACTGCAATTATATTGCATAACAATGTTTTTTAGTGTACTACATAATTGCAGTTGCAATAAAAAAAAGCCATGTGCTCAGACACAAGGAACTGGATATTGATGGAAGCTSTGTACAGAGGTTGCAATTATAACATGCATTTATCACAGTTTCAGACCAAAAAAAATGAAAAACATAATCACAACAGTAATTTTAATTTCTCAGCCTCATTCCTCCAGGTTTATGTGGTCTATATCACAGGATTCTGGTTTGTTTTCTGCTATATATATTTTGGGTGGGTTTTTTTTTTTTTTTTTTTTTTTTTTTGTTTTTACTGTGCTTTTCCTTGGGGAAAAAGGCAAGGGGGAATTCTCACTGTCTGTCTTGCTTTACCTCTTACTTCACAGGGGTATTGAGAAAGTAAAATAAGCTGCTGAGCTGTGAAAATATAGTGGTAACAGAGAACATATAAATACATAGCTACATGGCATCTTATTGTAATATTCTTGCAATGACCTTAAATAAAAAAGGCACATATTTGCTTAAATTAATCTGCATTTACCCTCTTGAAATCTGTCTCTCCACACCTATGTGTGGTACAGCCTAAAGACCATAGATTTCCACAGGTCTGGGTCTGTCTTTTACCCTCCAACAGAAATCAAACACATTCAAGACCATGCTAGCTCTGCTCAACCCYCAGGTTCCCACATGGAAACACCACAGAATCACAGAGGGCTTGGGACTGGAAAGGACCTTGGAGATCCTCTTGTTCCAGCTGCCTGTGCTGTGGGCAGGGACACTTTCCACTYGACCAGGCTGCTCAGAGCCCCATCCAACCTGGCCATGAACACCTCCAGGGGAGGAGCAATTGCAGCTTTTTGGATCACCTAATGAGAATTGGTTGTAAACAAATTTTTGAGACTTACGATGGTTCTTCAGATACGGCTGTTCCTTCCTCCAGCTCTTGAGCCTGCTTATACCATGGCAACTTGGCTTCTGTGGGAAGTTTCTCTATGGAGCAAACACAAGCATGTGAAAATAGGAATAATGCAGTAATTCTGCCATGTGTGCCACCCTCCCTGCTCTCACCAACAATGCCTGTGATGCCTGAGTACCTTCACACACGTGGAGGCTTGAGCACAGAGAAGAAAAAGAGAAATGAAAACAKGGTGGGGAGAAACAACTGTTTCATCACCTGGAATATTTCACTTACAAAGYTGTATGGCCAGACATTTCACAGGGCTATAGTGCCCTAAAGCCAGACAGGCAAATGAAAATTAGGTCACCTTTCAGATTATACAACTAGACTGCAAAAGCAGGCACTTTGGAAAGTATTTTTTTTTAGGGATCTTGCAAATGCAACAGGCCTCTGTTACACTGTAAAGGCAAAATGTGTAAAATTCCTGTATTTACCTTTAAATTTTAGAATTTCAGAAGACATGCTGAGCTTGGGTTTGGCAGATTAAAAAAAGGAAGAAAATCCTGCTTTGATGAGYGGTGCCACAGGAAAATCATAATAAAATGGCCCAGCTTTGCTTTTCAACTCTGTTTATCAGTTCATCAGTTATGTGGATTTAAAAAAATGAGCTTGATACTTTTTCTGTCATTTCTGATGGAGAACAGTGGAGCTGCTCCACTTCCCCTCCAGGATGTGCACACAGTGCAATGAGCTCTGCAGGGGTATAAAATAGCTCTGTAGGGGTGTAAGGTAAGAGCAAATTTGGCACTATAATTTGAGAAGGAGCTCTGCACTTCAACACAACRTTCCAGGCCAGGATCAAGGGTAAAAAATACAAAGAAAGGGCAGTRAGTGTTTAAAAAAGGAAGGACTTGTACTCGCCAACAGGAGCAGGTTAATGTTATTCCAAATTGTCTGTGACTCTGACTGTGCAGAGTAATGAAATTTCACACATGAACATGAATTTTTCCATCTGTCAGTTTTATCACACTGGAACAACGACCTATGACTTGACTACACAGCTACTGCAACTTTAATTATGCAAATTTCCTTGGAGCAAGTTAATAACTGAGGAAAAGAGGCACAGTAATAGAAATGCTGCTTCTATCTCATAAACAACTTGCTAAGCTCTAATGTATTAATGCCATTTAATGATGAATGTTTGCCAGCACAGCTCTTAGTGTAATCTATGTTTTACTAATCACCCAAAATATGTAGGAAATATTTCTATTTATAAGTTCTACAATTTGTTTTATGCGTTTTGGAACATCGCATCTTGCTTCCGTACATTTTTTTGCCTGGATGCAACTGCTTGTAAAAAGCAAAACTTCTTGTGTAATATTGCCTGTTTTGTGACTTTTTAAATAACTCTCCTTTTATTAGAGGTGCAGTTAATTATCATCTACACTATAAAATTTATTAGAGGATTAGAAATGTTGATGTTGTATGCTTTGACAGAAAAATSAGCAAAAAGCAGTTCTAACATAAAGAAGGATTTTTTACCTTTGGAGATCAAAGTAAAACCTTTTATTTTATAAAACACTTCCAGTAAAAACAATAAAATCTTATATTATACAGAAAGTTACATTAGATGAATATGCCTTCTCTGTTGAAAATGAAAATCATTACTTAATCCAGTGCCATACTAACTTTTCCCCATTTTTGGCGCAATAAAGTGCTTTAGGGCTTGAATAAACTAAAATGAAATCAATTACATGAACAATTTGCCTTCCATTTCTTTTTTGCAGAGTGTGTTAAGAGAAGAGAGACTTCCACATTTTTGTCTGGCTGTTTCAGTCAGCCAGGAAGATTGTTTTCTGCTTAGTGTTAATCCATTTGCAGAAAAAAACCCAGGCTATGACCAAAACATTCAGTAGATGAGAGGTACTGCATTACCCCCACTGCTCTAAATTTCTAACTCTAGTTGCGCGAAATAAAAAAGACAAATTTCTAGTCTATAAATAGACTTTGGTTTGGAAGACACGGCTGGATACCATTTGGTCCAACACTCTTCTGAAAGCACTACTCAGCCCTCAGTTACACTATTCAAATACATATTATATATATATTTATATATATATATGGTGTATAAAGTTATATTATTCAATATTCAAACATTTCCTCTTGAATTATTGAAAACCAAACCCAAACAAGATAAGATTTGCATAGAACTTTTCCATGTGAAAAAATGGAAGCAGGAAGTACCTGCCTACAATCAGAAATTAACCATGTATGTGCTGCAAAGGGCAGCATAAGAGCTTATCYGGGGTAAAGATTCCATGCTATTCCAAGAGTGGGCTTCCAGCAAAGGATAATTTATTTTGTTACAAGAAAAGTCCCATTTAAAGACACTTCATGCAGATGGAGGTAAGCAAAGCTTTCCCAGCTGGTTTTGCACCCTTCTAAGCACAAGTCAGCGTGGTTGGTTTGCAAAACAAGATCTCTTCAGTGTCTTATTGCATTTTGCTGACAYTTTATGATGCAGGCTGACTGGATCTTGCATTACGTGCATTCTGAGCACCATAAAAACACAATGCCCAAAAAAACCAGCTGACTGATTGAGCCCAAAATCACTGAATAGCTGTATGAAGCTCACAGTTGTGCCAACACAGTCACAGGGCCTTTTTTTCACTTTTTATATCTTGGAAGGTGCATGGACAAAGCTCATGTTGGCCAGTAAAACACAGTGCAAAGGTARTCTTTGCTTCCCAGAGACCCCCTGCCTGGGCTTCACCCCTCTGGTGGCTCACAGATACAGTGAAATCTCATGGTCATGGTAAACTGGAATCTTGAAACTTGGCAAGTGTGCCTATCATCAGCCTCTAAGCGCAGAAATTTAAAATTAGAAATTTCACTGTTGAAGTTCACAGTCTTGGAACAGCACAAGATGCTGGGTCAGTCTTGCTTCACAGGGCTTCATAAAAAGGGCTCTTAATATGTTTCAAGACAACAACTCTTTTTTTCAAAGGAATTGTTTTCTTCTTAYGGTAAAGTGCAAGTTCAGGAAATTTAAGTCCACCTGAATGGCCGTTGCCCAGAGCTTTCCCTAAATCCTCAGCACACGGGCACGGGGGTGGTGACAGTGGTCCCACGTGTGCTCACACACCTGTGGAAATGCCCAAACACASGTGTCTGCTGCACCTGGTCACTACCTGCTATCCAACCCAGCCTTTTTAACCTTCTTGTCCCATAAGAACCTCCAAATGAATGCACAAATAGTTTCTGCTCCTTTCAACAAACCATAGGTTTTTTTTTTACCCCAGTATTACTCTCTATTTGAGGCTCAAGTAAGAAAAACATTACTTTACAAATTGTGAATACTTCTTGCTATATTTGTGTCTGACAAATTTTGCAGCTGACATAGTAAGAAGAACCTCTTGATGAGATATGCTTGCTTCTGACTTACGTCATGCTARAAGTTATGAACAGGCCCTTTTGCAATTACAGTTACATTTATTTACAACAGCCATTATTTATATATTTAATTTCAATTTATTTTAAAACACAAGGCAAATTTAGCTCACACACAAACGGTGAGGTCAAACCTACTTAAACTACAGACAAATTTATGTTCATATTACTTAGTCTCTGAACCACAAATTAACAAAGAAAAGCCCACAGCTTGTAAGAAAAAAAAAGAGGTCACACTCACTCCAAAGTGCTAGCAGACAGACAGGAAGAGACAGGTGCAAARTCACAACTTGGTGCAGGTGGAAACAGTGATGCCAGCAACAAAACAAAATGGTTGAACACAGAAGAGCTCTGAAAAATTTATGAGAATCATTCTGCCTCATTACCTTTGGGTTTGTAGCAAGGAGTGGGTACAATACATTCTTCTTTGATGTGTGGCTTTGTTTTAGGAGTACAGCCTCCTGTATGCATCCCTCTGTGGTCAATGCAAAGGACCACACGGTATCTGAGCCCTTGTCCACAGGTCACAGTGCACTGGATTAAAAAAAAAAGAAGAAAAAATAGAAAATGAAAAGGAGAAAAAAAAATAGATGTGTGTGATATGTCAAAGAAGTGGTAAGTAGAAGAGGAATATGCAACAGAAGTATGTGTACATTGGAGAGTCAAACATGGGTGCAGAAACACCCAATCTTGAACATAATATTTGGTAATTACAGATAAGGTATAAAACTGACAGAAATTTTTGCCATTTTGGTCAGAACATTTTTGTGATTTCAACATTTTGACACTGGACTTCTCTTGCAGYGTCACTCCTGCAGTGATGCCTACTTGGCTTGTGGCCATCTGTCCCATATTGGRTACGTTCAGTAACACCCCGTCGGTTTCATCTGGAGCCACTCTGCCTTGCTTGGACAAAGTATTGGGGCTTATGTATCAACAGGGGAGGCACTCGGCCATTTTGGAAACAAACACCAAACAGAATGGGAAACTACTGGGCTTTGTTCCCTCAGACACTTAAGGCTTTTTTTTTGTTTGTTTGTTTGTTTTTTTTTTTTTTTTTAGATTTTTAGGGTTTTTAAATTTTTGTTTTTTAATTTTATTTTTGCTATGGTTCATCAACCTTTTCCCCCTGTACAGATTGTTTCAAAATTGGTTGCACGGGAGAGGATCAAAACTACCAACCAGTTGGAAGTGCCAGGAATACTACCAACATTACTTGGCTCTTGGATAGCAGCTTTCACTGGGAAATCTGCAAACACTTCTCAATCAATGAAGAGCACCTCATCTGTAGGTAAGCCTGCTTCTAAAGTGCAGTTTACTTGCTGAAAAACTAGGGTGGTGAGAAATTTTATTCAATGTAAGTCTTAAAGTACAAAGTTAAAATACTTCAATACTTTTGTGGAGGGGTATTTCCAAGACATTTACTTGCATACAGATGGAAAGACAAGTCAGGAACAGAAAACTGTAAGTATCAAAGAGCARGGTCATATACAAATTTATGTATTTCTGGAAATACCTCAGATTTTGAGATTCAATTTATGGCTGAAATATTTTAATATAGAAATACCATTACATGCTTACTGGTTTGATTTGTGGATTTAATTTATATTCCCAGTTTATTATTAGAGAAGGCCACAAATTAATGTTACAAAGCTGATTTATTTTTCCATCATTCTCCTTGCTCATGTTCATCTTATTAATAGATTTCTCCTGAGTGTTTTCTTTGCAGTTAGACAAATAGCATAATTTAAAACAGAGGTGTTGGTATTAAGGAGAGACAGCAGTACAACTTCCAAAACTCACTAAACTATAATTTAAGRTATTTTCCTAGTGTGGTAAATACAAAACCAACAAAGTGAAGTTGGTTACCGGAGACCATTCCTGAGCAAGCCACTTTGGGCAGTCAAATATATTGCAAGGCTGGACAACAGGCATCTTTGGAGTGTACATGCATTTCCATTCTTCCACGGGGCTGATGTGCCCCTGAATGTCTTCTTCCACACAGGAGACACTGCGGCTTTGAATTCCCCCTCCACAGGATGAGGAACAGGCAGTCCAGGGTGTGCTTTCCCATCTGGGAAAACAGAGAGGCATCAGCAAACACTACCCATGCTGTTTCCACACCCACCTGTACCCCCAAAATGCATAAACTGCTATCTGCAATACTGAGAGTTTTGGTTTTGTGGAGTTTTTTTTCCTTTTCCCCCCCCTTTTTTTTTTTTTTTTACTTTATCAGCATCAGCGAAAATTAATAATATATATATTTTCCTAAGTGTCCACAGTAGTAAAGCATGCTCATGGCTGGTGTCTTCTACATCACCGTTAATAATATGAAATCTCCTCTCTCCCACTAACCGAATCACTACTATTACAAAAAATCCAAACACTTTAAACTTAATTGTGTTCTTTTCTTTTTTAATTGATGGGATTATCATATTTTCAYAATTTGTCATACTCTGAGGAATATTTGTCACAAATCACAGGAACTCAGTGTGGTCTGAGGCTGATGCCCCTTTTGCAGAACGAAAAGGGAAAGTGCAGTGTTTTTCCCAAGGAAGTAACTCAGCAGAGAAAAAAAGAAAGAAAGATGTGAGGAAATTACCAAAAAGCAAATGTGACCATACTAGTTAGACACGTCCCCTGGTAGATAAGCCAGATGAACCTTGCTTCCTTACAGTCAAAGCAGTGAGAGCAGATGAGAAGTCATCTTTTCTCTACAAGTGCCATTTGAGAATGAAATGAAAAATCCACAGAACATTATATACATGTTCTGAAAAGCTATGCATACTTACAAGAAAARTCCTCTTTTTAGTGACCCATATGCTATAAGATATGAATTCCTATACATGTCTGTCCACACAAAATAGTGTGGTAAAACCTCTTTTATACTGGAGCCCCTGTCACAGATTGGATATGTGACCATTTTCATGATCCAGTGTGGCTACTTCTATATATTCCTGTGCATGACAGAGATACAGGCAGATTTTTTTTTTCTGCCTACCAGGAAATATTTCAAAAATATTTTTAAAAATAGTGTTAAACTGTGTTTTAGTATTTTAGCTTCTACATTCCTTACTAATAGGTTTAACTTTTGAGGCTGGGAGGTATGCTTGCAGGGTTTGTTTTTTTTTTTTTTTCTTTTAAATAAAGAACAGAGAAAAGTGTTTTCCAGGAAAAAAAGGAATTAGATKCAAAGATATATTTTGCAAGAGTATCTCAGAAATACTTGGTGATAATGACTATGTGCACATAAATACAATCATTTATCTATTATCAAAAATCTAACAAATTATAAGCATGCAAGAAGCTGCACAATGGAGGAGAGGAAGAGAAAGTCTTGTGATTCATAACAAAGCTACAGATTATAATTCTATTCAGGGAGGAGTAAARGGCAAAAAAAGGAAATGTGTGAGGGAAAAGGGTCTGAGGAATGGGAGAAAGAGAGGGAACACACAGAGTAAGTCTGCATTTCTCCTTCAGGTAGAATATAATTTCTGTCTTCATTGACAAAATTTATCACAACAGGTTAGCACTTGAACATCTCTACATTAATCTGTAAGAGTCAAGAGCAAGAGAAAAGCAGCATCTGTTCACTTAACTTGAAAGCAAAGCAGAAGTACAGAGAACAGGAAGAAAAAAAGAAAATGAATTTGTTAAGCCTAGCATCTGGTTGACAGTTTTACATACCGAGGAAGGGGATGGTAGAGGTCATAGGGCATGATCTGCTTGTATCCATCACTGTTAGGAACAATAATGCCAACCCTCTGAGTAGAAGGTACACATAATAAAATAAACACTAAATGATTACATTATACAACTTTCATATTACATTATTGTATTATATTACACAACTTTTATAATACAGTATTATAAACCAACTAAAAAAGGTATTTTACTGAAGTTGTCATTCCATTTAAAATAATTTAAAAAAAGCTCCTATCCTACTGTTTCTGAGTAATTCAAAGAATAAATCACAGGTCACTACTTCTTTCTWATAAATACATTATAGTTTGGCAAATAATCAATCTGTTGCTACAAGTGACCCAAAGACTATTTTACCCTATGGTGTTGTTATCTAACATGAAAAAAAAAAATAAATTCTATGCTTAATACTTTCTTGGAGCTTGGATCCAAAGTCATGGAAGACAATGGAAGAACTTCTATCTACTTCACAGAACTCTAAATAAAATCCTTTCTATAAGTATTACATGGTTGTTTCTGCCCCTTGGATAAACAACCTTTTTTTACAGGGGTGAGGATTAGAAATTTGGGTAATCACAAATCAATAATTCAAATCTGCATTTCTTGTCTCTTCACCTTAAATGAGTCCAGGACCGTCTTTTAATTTTTATTTATTTATTTATTTTTTTTTTCCTGGAAGAAGAAAGGAGCCTGACAAAAGATTAGTAGTCAGGTAGGGTTTTTTGGTGGGCTTGCTTTGCTGTAGTTTTATTGGTATGGTGTTATAATGTAACATCTAAGAGTTATGGAAGGCAATAGCACAGATCAAAATTAGGAACTATCAGAATATTATCATGCCACTTCAGAATGAGATGGATGCCCGTTATCTCATTGGCAGCTACAGGGTCTAACTAAATTGCTAGTCTGAAATTTAATATTTTATCTGMATTTGTTTTATAATTTTGACTCAGAGAAACTTTAACGTTGTTTTCTCCCAATTATCAGGCATATCTATTGACATCAGATGATCTCAGAGCATCTCATTTTTCACTTCCATCAAAGCCACTTGGATATTTGAATGGGGCAAGGGGACAGAAATTCAAAGAGTGAATACTAATTGCATTAAAATAAAAAATGTGTCTCCATCCAAGTTATGGAGAGATGACGCTCAAGAAGAAAGGTGGTTTTCAGGAACTTTTTACAGATAAGAGGTGATAGATATGCTGCTATGGATTTCTGTAAGGGAGAAGGAGCAAAGGAGGTGGAAGGGAGAAAGTGTTCTCCATCCTCAACACTGTTCACCAAAAAATGCTGTGAGCATTCAAAGGAATCTTGTCAGGCCAGGCCCGAAGGGCTCTGTTCTCCTTTCAGTCAACAGGGGGTTTATGTGCATAATTTGTCCAAGACAGAGAATGGATCCCATTGTGTTTCCACAGTCAGGAGTCAGTGCCAGGTCAGTGTGCTGGAATTTTCCAAGCGCGGGAAGCAGCTGGAGCCCTGGAAGTGTGTGAGAGGGACTAGACAGTTCCCTCTAAGATTAGCAGCCACTGCAGTCACAGAGCTCTCTGTATGAGTGCACATATTTGCATCTTCGAAGAGCTGCCTGTCCACACAAAAAATCTAAAAATCTAGGGGAGGTAGTTCTGGCACTGGGAAGCTCTGGAAAAGACAAATGGGTCATTTAGAGYACAGTCAATGAACAAGTCTTTTCAGACTTCGCTTGATGGGTAGACAGCTGAAGAAATTGTATTTTAAATATTTGATGTATTTAAGTATTTTAAGAAGATGGAAGGGATTTTTTTTTCTGAGGGTTTTTTTGCCTATACTTTTGGGAATTTTCTGTTTTCCTGACTCTTCTACCACTGCTGTTGAAATTCCAGTCTGAAACCTTTTGTACTTCCCAGCTCATCAGCTTACTGAGAAGTGGTTGGGAAAAAAGGTGAACGTAGTGAGTTAAAAAATGAAATAAGTAGACTATAAAAGMATCTACTGCCTAAAAAAGAAGCAAATTTCAAAACATTTCTCACTTATTGCAGTGAAAAATATTTTCTTTCTAATAAACATGATCTTTATGCATAATCCARGTCTACATGCTTTAGAATTCATGATTCCCAAGACTATCTGTCCAGATAKAAGTAACTGTACTACATCCAAACTCTGTTATGAATATTAAGTAACATTTGCAAAGCACYAGATTAATATGGTCATTGGAAAGGCTTGAGCCTCAAAAAATTTTGCACATAAATATTGCATTTCTGTAACAGTATTGAGCTCCCCAGAATTACTGACACTGTGCATAYGTGAGGGGCTCCCAAAGGCTCTCATTCTGTAATTGCAAGATAAGGAATCACAGCCATAAAGTTATAGTAAGGAAGGACTCCCTCACAATAACACAAAATGGTTTAATTTATGTAATAAATAAAACAGAAGAGCAGATGGTCATCATGTCATTAAWGACATCTGCACTTTTCTAGCTAATTTTGTGGGGTTTTTTTGTATGTGTTCTTCAAAACAGCCCCCAAGACAAGTGAACACTTTCAAAAAACATCTCGGAGATTACTTTGRTGAATTCTAACTTTTTGACAGGACAAAGTGGTTTGAATTCCACAAATCTATGAGGCCATCATACTCCCATAAACAAGACGGAAGAGGTCTACTTTATGGGCTTTATTTACTGTACATTACCCAGCCAATGCAAAGGGGATGTGTGCCAAATGAGCAGAGGAAATAATAATTCCTTCACTGAAATATGTGTGAGTAGCTAACAGGACTCATTCACAAAACATCAAGAGATTTGGCAGGAACAGGAGCACAAAGCCAATTATTTTTCAGCGCTGTTCTGTCTCATATGTCTGCAATCTCCCATGCCTTTCAGACTAACAAGTCCTGTCATATTTTCTGCACACTGGTTCRTTTTTCTCCTGAGTGCTGGCAGTTTCAACACAGTTGCTCTTCCAAGGCACATGGAAGGGGAGCTGCACGTGCCCAAGGTGAGAATGCTGCAACCAGATCTGCCATTTTTGCATTCACCTTTCCCCTGGGACAACTGTCTGCAGCTGCATTCCTTGGAAGTCGTGTTTGGGGAACTCTTTTGCAGTTGCTCCTTTTCCTCCTTAGGGCCCCCCATTTAGCACAGATGACAATTACAAATGCCTTTCTCCTGTACCTCCCTGGTGACTGCCTCTTTCTGACAAGGTGCCAGCCCTTCCCAGCTTTCTCTCCTGCATGCTGACAAGCCTCAGGTTGGAAGTGTTGAGCAAAGCAGGGACATGAGAGAGAACTGGGAGAGGAGCCAGCAGAGAGAGGTCWTCTGCCCTCGAGGTGCTTCAGGGTGCTGCGACCCTGCATGGGGACAAAATGCCACTCCTGCTCTGGTGTCCTGTACCCTGTATGCCACGTGGCCACTGCTGTGTCACATGCCTCTGGCTCACAGCCTCCATCTCTGCTGAGTGCTCTGTTTTGGCAGGGCTGTGGTTTTGGCGGTGCTGTGGCTGCAGGGCTGCCCATGCTCGCGGATGGCTGCACCCATTACTGATGCACCTCCTTCCTGATGCAGACTCGCACATGCAGATTGAAACCTTCACTGAAATCTGTCAAATCTGCGAGTAAATGATCTGCAAGGCAGGGCCTGTGCCATCTAAGCAATGGAATATGTCTGAGATATTATTAGTAATGAACAAATATAATGACATTTGTTAAAGTCGCTTGGGTTGGCTGTGCTGGAATACATGGAAATGTTCACTACAAAAGACAATAGTTTAGCATCCAAGCTAGGAACTCCATGGCAGCCATGATTATCGCTGGATAGAAAACACTCTTGTGAAAAAGGCTGCACTTTAACACTACAAATCCTGACATTAAGCAGTGTGTGATACTGCACTTCAGTGTTCTCTGATGCTGCCATGCTGTGACGTTATCTCCTTGTGCCTAAAGAACACTTTCTGTGTTGAGAAGCAGTCATCAAGACCCTCCAAGAGACAGTATGTGTTAATGCCTCCCATGAGTTATTCTGTGAATCAATTACTTTTTCTTTCAGAGCTGGGGTAGATGACACCTACAGTAACASCACAAGTACAGGCAACATTGCTTTCAATCCCTATTTTTGCAGGCAGTGAAATGGTAATTCTCAGTTATGCCACCACTATGAGTTACCTTTCTGGATTCTGGATGCTATCAATGGGAATCTTGAAGAAACTACCATGCACTTCGTATTTATTTTGCTTTTATATGGTTTTAGTACTTTACAGATTGGCAAAAGCCATTGTCTGMTGCTTAAATATTTTAAAATGGAATGCCAGTGAATACTTAAAATAACCTACCCTCTTCCTGACTGTAAGAAATCATCAGGAATCCAGAAGTAACCACTACAGATTTCCTGTTTTTTTTTCCTGTGGGTTGTTGATTCCTGAAATCTTTACAAAGGCACTTTTGAAAATAGTAATTTGAAATTTGGTATTCCATGAAGATGTTTCCAAAAAGCCATTTCCTCTGGGATGGCATAGCTAAATGACTCTCCCTCCCCTCAGGGTCTTTACATCAACAAATTWGTCTTGTTATGTCTTATATAAAACAAAAATTGCTTCCTGACATCTGCCCAGCCATTATTTYGTTTTCTCTTTCCTCCCATGTACCATGCAGTCATTTGTCTTACCATTTGAGAATATGCCATTTAAAATTATTGGGAAACGTATGGAAAATATCCACAGTGCAAATTCCAGAGGCAAATTACTTATTTGACTCAGAACCGTATGTTTAAAAAACAGCACCTTAGAATTAAAAAAAAAAAATAGAGCAACTACATAAAATTACTTTTTCCTTGATAGTGACATAAGTGACTCTAGCAGGAACTCTAGGTTGCATACTGATCCATATCTTTCAACAGACATTCCTGTTTCAGCCTTCTACTTCTGGCCTTATTGACATCTGTCTCAAATGRAATGTGCTTGCAGGAACAAAGGGATATAAACTGCCTTACACTCTGGGTAAATGTGTCTTCAATGGCAAAGCAATCTGAGTGTTAACTCCAGATAAAGTCAGTGAAGGTCAGTGAAAACCTTCTATAACAAGTAAGAACTATCTGTGGCTTGGAGTGATTTGATTGGCTCTGATAATGCCCAGCTACTCTAAAGCTGGCCTACCTGGTTTGGGCAGCCTCAGCCAGGTGGACACAAAACCCCATAGGTTCATAAAGCAGCCTTTTTCTCATTAGGACACCTTTTTTCTRTGACAACCTCCATCAATCTGAAGTGACACAGCAACTTTTTAGGTGGCGCTTGCTTGAACTCACTTGACCAAACTTGCCAGGAAACTAGTYCAGAGGGAAAGGAGCTGGTGAGAAGATGGCTTAGGGCATCCTTGTCATGCTACTTGGCCATCTTTTAGCAAAGCCACACAAGAGGACCAAAAGGTTTAGATTGCACAAATAAATGCTKGCTGCTTATTGAGYGGCTGCAGAYRGACTTCCACTGAAGTTCTGGGCAATTGATCCAATTGGTCTTTGTTGTGGTTTTTTTTTGTTTTTTCCTTCTTACACATGAAGAATCTGAYTMTTTGRTCTTGCCATTTTTACTATTAATTTCTGAGGAAGAATGCACAGGAAATGTCACCTTAATATGAGGAAGAACTTCTYTACTGTGCAGTGACTGAGCACTGGCACTGGCACAGTTTGCCCAGAGAGRTTGTGCAGTCTCCCTCACTGGAGATATTCAAGAATCATCTGGACACAATCCTGTGCAATGTGCTCTGGGATGACCCTGCCTGAGCAGGGAGRTGGAACCAGATGACCCACCAGCCCCACCTGTTCTGTGATTCTGTGGGGAAGCAGAGATGAGACTTCCATGCAGGGCCAAAGGACATTGATAAATAGAACAAAATCACTCATTACATTTTTAGAAGCTGCCATAAATGCAAGCTGTCTTTTTGTTTAGGAGAAATTTTTTTAGAAAAAAACCAACCCATAAAATAATTCATCTAATTGTGATGATAATAATTTTCATGCAAAAAAAGATTTTTCCATGTCACTAACACTTAAGAGACACGTATTAAGTGTGGGGATGGTATCATGGACAATTTTTTTTTCATAGGTTGCACCACTTAATGAGGCAAAATACATTCTGAGGGGAAGAAACAACCATTTCAAATCAGTCTTTGCTATGTGGAGGTGCAAATTTGAGATGTTCTRCACAGTGCATTCTCAGGATGAGAAAGGGACTGAATTATGAAGGATAAATTACAGTGTGAGAAATAGAAACACAATATTTTCCTATTTTATTTTACTCCTTTGGAGCTCAGCCTCCTTCAAAATTAAAGCTGACTGACCTTGCAGGACAAGGATCCAGATTACACTCTTGAAGTTTTGGCTTTGGTTTGATATTTTCAGGATAATAATGACAGTATTGATCTGCAACTACCCGATTGCTTCTCAGATCAAAGCACTCAGCAGATGTCAGCTGATAACCTGCAATACACAGAGGAATAAATAATATGAGAGATGTTTTTCTTCCTTTCAGCTTGCCTCAGTGCTTTTGRATGTAACAGCTGATGTTTTACAGGCCAGATTGAAAACAGTGATATAAATCACATGTAGAAGGAAACAAAAGACAATCAGTATGGTAAGACAAAAATTCAGAATCTTAGAGAAAAAACAAAAGCTAATGTTTMTTGCTCACCAAGAATCATGCCCTCACTTTCAGTATGGAGGGTAAACTTGCTGGTAGCAACAGGGATGAACTGAGACCTCTTGTTTTTCCAAGACATACCCAAATCCCATCAGCCCTTATGTTTGACAGCTATAGCATTAAATGCAGACGTATAGGTATCAAGATGTACTTTATTTACAYACAATTTACACTTTTAACCACAATGTTAAAAACCTATAGACTACTACCAAGTTGCTCCCTTCATTTAGCTGCAATTATTTAAATTTTCAGATTTTGCCCATTTTTAGGTCCAATCCTCAGGGCAGYAGTTGGGAAAAGTAATGTTTGCAGATTACAGCTTCTGAAACACAGTGGTAATTCATTACCTCCACCACAGGATGCTGAACAAGGGAAAAAATCAGTTTCCCTCCATCGGTGAATGATAGGCTGGTAGAAGATGAACTGGACTGAACTGTCAGCAGCACCAGCATAACGGATCTGAAAAAGAGGTTACATCAAAGAGTGAACCTAATGCAAATGCTGGGAAGAAGTATTCCACCACATGCATCTTGCAGACTGGAGATGCTTTGCAACTTCATGAAATTCCAGATATACTTTGCCATAGGAAAATAAAATATATAAACAAAGCATAGATCCGTGGCAGAATCTTGGGTTCAAACACAGCCAAGTAAATTTCTGGTCATAACCAGTGACAATTTTGAGACCATGTTCTGAAATAAAGAGTGCCTGGCAAATGCATGGCTAGTGCTACTGAATAATSTTATTGGGGCAGAGGATACAGATTGATGCTTAATACATCAGGAAGTCACCACYACCTACTGTCCCTGACACATGGCCATAGATTTTCGATTTTAATGTTTCCTGGAAAACATTCTAAGACCTGGTATAATACACTTGATAGTACAGAGTAAAATATGGGAGACTGCACTGTGAGAAATAATAAATACTACAAAACCTTTAATTAGCTTTTTTTTTTTTTTTTTTTTTTTTTTTTTTTTTTTTTTTTTTTTTTTTTTTTTTTTTTTTTTTTTTTTTTTTTAAGTTTGTTCTTCTGCTTACTTTACTTTGCTTGTAAAAATGGTTCTTTCAGTCATAGGCATGGAATCCTGGCTGGGGCTAAGTGCATGTCTGGAAAGCTCTTTAGAGCTTATAAGCCACCTAAGTTTAAAAGCTAGCATGCTTCCAGTACTGTGTGTGCTGAATGGATTTCCCACATAAACAAGAGTTTGTAGTGCAAGGAGAGAGACTCGCTCTGCAATACGAGAGACTTTTAACACTGTAAAGCGATGCCACTTCACCTGGCCCAAAAAAAATCCTTCCTGTTTGATATCTGTGCTGATTAATGCTTATGGGGACTTTCAAATCATGGCAGATTATCCCTTGTCCTTACCTCTATGCCTCTGCACAAAGAGCTGTCAAGGGAAGAACAAAAATCTGCTACTGAAACCTCTCCTGTTTATTTSTCCCAGAACACAGTGTCTCGGTGCTGCTTGAGCATCTCTGCGTTAGTGGCATGATGCTATCACACTGCAGAGAGCTGCCAAATCACAAACAGAAAACATGAACCCTTCTCCAAGACAGTACYGCTGCTCTCAGGAGTGATCCTCCCCTCTTTTTTTTTTCGCATGGCTTAAACTGTTTAACCACTGCCTCCTTTTTTTTTTTTTTTTTTCCTCTCATGTTTCAAACAAATCTCCTAGTTTTGGAAACATCATTTTTCAATCTGTCTTTTCCTTTCTCTTCTCTTTTTCCAAACACCAAGAGACACTATCGAAGAATTGTCTGTGAAACAGAAGCAAAAATAAGACAAATTGAGATGAACTTTGTGACTTGGGTTGTTTGTTTTGTTTTCTCTTGCAGACGGACAGCAACATGATTGCAGATCAAGATATTTCTTGAAGAGCAGGAGGAGGGCAAGAATATTGATGTGTGTATGAGGTCTGGTCCATTGAGACTAAGGCTGCCCTYTCCTAATTTAACAGTGATGTCAATTCCCAAAAGGAAAAAAATCCAAACCAGCTGTAGCAATACATCTGCTTCAGCAAACGGGAGGCCTTTTGCACAGATCAATATTGTTTGAGCCTGCGTGTCAGAAACAGGATACCTAATTCCTTGTGCGGGGATGGTGCATTAATTACAGACTTCAGAAGGGCCTTTCCGGGCTCATGAGCCTCAGGCRCTCCTGGGAAAAATGTTCTGTTGTGCTGGAAGCCATCTGAGGAGGTCTCTGATCTCAGTGTGCAGGAAAGGCATTCTCTGGGGAGAATTCTGCTCTTACTCTTTGTTTTTTAAGGATCATCAGTGATTCCTCAACTCAGATGTACTCAGCAGCACGGTCTGCAGTGAATCATGAAGAACAGACCAAGAGCTCACAYAGACCCTACCATAAAAGGAAGGAGAGGAAAAAAGAGTTTACATTAAGTAAAAAAATATCAGGAGGAAAGAAGAGTTCCTCTCTCTCTGCAGACTGTTCCTGCATGCCTGCAGTTATCTGTTTTGGTGTAGAGAAAAGACAGATGCACATCTTTTCCAGCCTAATGTGGAAGTCACTCATACAGTCATGATAACAACATAGATGGGAATGAATTACAATGAGCCACARTCATAAGCTCAAATGATACAAAACAAGCAAATAAAAGAATACCCAGTATCCCTATTTTTTTAAGGAGTACTGTAAGCAGAAGAGGAACAATATATGGTGATKATACACAGCAAAAACTTATTTTTTTATTTTGTTTGACTGCTTTGGTGTTAATGTAATTTCATATAGGAAATTACATGACTGTTGTCTGCAGGAGCTGATTAAGATTGGAGTACTCAGAATATCCACTGTCTAGCCTACAGTCACTATCAACAGAGATATCTTTTTTTCCCTGTTGAAAGATCTTTGAAAAAATTCTCTTGTACACTGCTTTAAAACTGATTTTGTTAATGACTGCCTGGGATGATGCAAGAGAAGCACMAGCTCTTGTCCAGGTCAAGTTTGGAGTTGATAAAATGCATATTTGGTTTGGGAGATGTCACAGAAAATTGAATGAAAACAAGAAAACAAAAATTTGAACACATAAGGTGTGTTTGATATATTCTGATCTATTCTGTGAATGAGTGGCTGCAACATCTGACTTCACCTTTGCATTTTGTTGGTCTTTCACATAGTTCCAGAATTCGATTAGTTCACATAAAACCAAACAAGTAAATTTCCCGGAAGCCCAGCCTTTTCTTGCTTGATTTTGGCAGTGTATGCCTGAACCATTTAGTTCTGTTCACAGAAGAACACATGGCTCGRCCTCCAAAACTACCATAGTTTATTTGGACAGTTTTAAAATTTAATCAGCAGTTTATAACAAAAATAGCAGTCATAACTAAATAATCACCAATGTTACTTGTACATTTACACGGCTAAGCCATGAAAAGTATATTCAATAAGAAGTTCTCATTTTATGCAGTTGGGGGGTGGGTAAGGAGGAAAGACTACATTTCTTTTGTGTGTGTGTGTGTTTGTGTTCCAAAATGGGGACAAAGAACCATTACGGTTGGAAAAGCCTCCCGACCATGGAGTCCAACTTTTGACCAAATACCACAATGTCAACTAGACCATAGCACGAAATGCTGTGTCCAATTGCTCCTGGAATATTTCCAGGGAGAGTGAGTCCACCACTTCCTTGGGCAGCCCATTTCAATGCCTGACCATTCTTCCAGTAAAACTCTTCCTGATGTTCAACCCCTGGTTGTCCTGTCACTGGCTGCCTRGGAGAAGAGACCAACCCCACCTGGATACAGCCTCCTTTCAGGCAGTTGTAGAGGGATAAAACCACCCCTCACCTCCTGTTCTGCAGACTAAACACACCCAGCTCCCTCAGCCACTCCTCACAGGACTTACTCTCYAGGCCCTTCACCAGCTTTGTTGTCCTTCTTTGGAAGTGTTCCAGCAAATTTTGACTTACACAATTTGATCTGGTATACTCCGATCTATCTCTGTGCCATCATGCTTTTTAGAAAAGTTCTAATGGCTTTTCCCATACCACTATTATGATTATGATTATGATTATTATTATTATGATTATTATTAGTAATTATTATTATTATTATTCTGATTCTGAATGCTCTCTGCAAGTTCCAAATGCCAAATCATCAGGTTGATACTAATGAAAGTAATTAATGAAAAATTTAATCTGACATATGTAATTTTGTGCTTCTCCTGTCAGTTTGAAAGGTATTCTACCTAGAATGCTTCTACATTGCTTGTATGGAGTGATATCTTGCGCTGAAAAAAAAAAAAAAAAAGGAGGATGTACAAGAGATTTGTTGCTATTAACAATTTTTTCATGAAGGAAATAGAAGCCAGACATTGTCATGGGAAAATAACTTTACAAGCTTGCTTAAAATAACATAAAAAGTACATAAAATGTAAATAGTGAGAGATACTGAAGGCTTTCAAGCACCTATTTTAAGACAGGACTACACCAAAACTCCTCTGAGTTTGCCTTTTCATTCCCTTGCAATGCTGAAAGGAGCTCTGCCCTTGAGGTCTAGGGAACATGTCTACTGTCCACCTCTGATTGTGATACCCCTGCGTTGGAGCAGCTTGGTTTTGGGGTTGACTCTCTTATAGAAGTCAGCKCCATCTGTTACTTCTCAATTTAGGCCTATAAATCTACCAGAGAAATCACTGTGAAATTACATTATCACTGACTTACATACTTTGAAATTGAACTTGTTCACCCTGCCCTAAACTTGCATTAAACAACATTCCTCTAGGTGATGAGGGTGTTAAAAAGACTTTAGATTAATTCTCTCACAAAGCCAATTCAGAAAGCTAGGAGGTTTAAATAGATTATCATTATTTTTCCATTATTCTGTTCAAAAGAAGAAAAAAAGACAAAATCACTGCAGTGGGTTGGTTKGGATAGCTGGCAGTAATGGAACCTGCAGTACCAGCTATAACATTTAATAGAATGTACAGAATCCACTACTAAGTGCAATGAATGTGGAAGTTTCTCAAAAAAGAAGACCAAAATCATTCCACAGAACCAAAGGCAACCCCAAATACACCAAAATCAGATGTGCTGCATCTCTGCAGTGGATACCACCCTTAACATCCCAGTCATCTGTGAAAAGACAATTTCACCACCATCAACATGCTCCCAGGGTAAGAGATTTTACCCTTGAACAAGCAATCTTAATCATCACTGCAAAATATTTTTTAACTCTAATTTATTTATGATAATATCTAAGAAATCAATGTAAAAAGAGGAGCCTATTGTGATAGATACTGTATGAAAAGAAAATTAACTACTTGTAAAGGCATTTTTTGCCACACACACATYGTTAAAATGGCGAAAAATTCCCAATGTTGGCATCAAGCCTTCATAGCACTTAGAAAAGACTGATTTTTGAAAGATATACATAGGAATCTAAAAAAAAGGTTACAGAAAAAGAAAAGGAAAAATTACAAATAACAGTTTGTCAGAGSAATA